TCAGACGGGCCTGGACATGTACTGGCTTAAGCAGGGGGACACGTCTGGCACTGCAGGATTTGAGTCCCTGGCGGCGTAGTGTGTTACTGATGGTAGGCTTTGTTACTTTGGTCCCAGCTCTCTGCAGGTCATTTACTAGGTCCCCCTGTGTGGTTCTGGGATTTTTGCTCACCGTTCTTGTGATCATTTTGACCCCACGGGGTGAGATCTTGCGTGGAGCCCCAGATCGAGGGAGATTATCAGTGGTCTTGTATGTCTTCCATTTCCTAATAATTGCTCCCACAGTTGATTTCTTCAAACCAAGCTGCTTACCTATTGCAGATTCAGTCTTCCCAGCCTGGTGCAGGTCTACAATTTTGTTTCTGGTGTCCTTTGACAGCTCTTTGGTCTTGGCCATAGTGGAGTTTGGAGTGTGACTGTTTGAGGTTGTGGACAGGTGTCTTTTATACTGATAACAAGTTCAAACAGGTGCCATTAATACAGGTAACGAGTGGAGGACAGAGGAGCCTCTTAAAGAAGAAGTTACAGGTCTGTGAGAGCTAGAAATCTTGCTTGTTTGTAGGTGACCAAATACTTATTTTCCACCATAATTTGCAAATAAATTCATAAAAAATCCTACAATGTGATTTTCGGGAGAAAGAAATTCTCAATTTGTCTGTCATACTTGACGTGTACCTATGATGAAAATTACAGGCCTCTCTCATCTTTTTAAGTGGGAGAACTTGCACAATTGGTGGCTGACTAAATAATTTTTTCCCCCACTGTAGGTCTATGCTCCGGTACCTGAGCTCAATTTCGAGTCTCATAGCAAAGGGTCTGAAAACGTATGTAAATATTGCATTTCTGCTTATTAATTATTATTTTTGCGAACATTTCTAAAAAACAGTTTTCGCTTTGTCATTATGGGGTATTGTGTGTAGATTAATGAGGATTTTTATTTATTTAATCCATTTTAGAATAAGAAAGTAACGTAACAAAATGTGGAAAAAGTCAATAGGTCTGAATACTTTCCGAATGCACTGTAGGACGGTTTAAAGTCTTCGCCCACCAGAAATGCTGCCTCTGGGTGAGCAGTTTCTTGTTTTGTTTATGGCCCCATACAGTTCGTTGAGTTAGAGTGGTGTTGGTTTGTGGAGGGATGTAGACAGCCGTGATGATTCTGGATGAGAACGGTCTTGGTAGATAAAAGGGTCTGCAACTTACAATGAGGTGTTCTAGATAAAGTGAGCAAAAGCTCAAGATTTCCTTCACACTTGAAGCAGCACAGCAGTTGTTGTTCATGAAGAAAACACACTCCACCTCCTTTCGACTTCCCCGAAGCCGCTTTCCGATCTTGCCGTGGCATGGAGAATCCACTAGTACTACGTGCATAGCATCATCATCCAGCCACATATCTGTAAGCTCTATCAATGCTGACGTGTTCTCAGATGAAGATGCAGTTGTATAACCAGCCGTTTTAGATAAAATGGAAGAAAATAATGTGAATTACGTAAACTTTTGGGATGGAATATACAGTCGTGGTCAAACTTTTTGAGAATGACACAAATACTAATTTTCACAAAGTCTGCTGCCTCAGTTTTGATGATGGCAATTTGCATATACTCCAGAATGTCATGAAGAGTGATCAGATGAATTGCAATAAATTGCAAAGTCCCTCTTTGCCATGAAAATGAACTTAATCCCCCCAAAAAACATTTCAACTGCATTTCAGCCCTGCCACAAAAGGACCAGCTGCCATCATGTCAGTGATTCTCTCGTTAACACAGGTGAGAGTGTTGACGAGGACAAGGCTGGAGATCACTCAGTCATGCTGATTGAGTTATAATAACAGACTGGAAGCTTTAAAAGGAGGGTGGTGCTTGAAATCATTGTTCTTCCTCTGTTAACCATGGTTACCTGCAAGGAAACACGTGCCGTCATCATTGCTTTGCACAAAAAGGGCTTCACAGGCAAGGATATTGCTGCTAGTAAGATTGCACCTAAATCAACTATTTATCAGATCATCAAGAACTTCAAGGAGAGAGGTTCAATTGTTGTGAAGAAGGTGTCAGGGCGCCCATGAAAGTCCAGCAAGCGCCAGGACAGTCTCCTAAAGTTTATTCAGCTGCGGGATCGGGGCACCACCAGTGCAGAGCTTGCTCAGGAATGGCAGCAGGCAGGTGTGAGTGCATCTGCACGCACAGTGAGGCAAAGACTTTTGGAGGATGGCCTGGTGTCAAGAAGGGCAGCAAAGAAGCCACTTCTTTCCAGGAAAAACATCAGGGACAGACTGATATTCTGCAAAAGGTACAGGGATTGGACTGCTGAGGACTGGGGTAAAGTTATTTTCTCTGATGAATCCCCTTTCCGCTTGTTTGGGGCATCCGGAAAACACCTTGTCCGGAGAAGACAAGGTGAGCGCTACTATCAGTCCTGTGTCATGCCAACTGTAAAGCATCCTGAGACCATTCATGTGTGGGGTTGCTTCTCAGCCAAGGGAGTGGGCTCACTCACATTTTTGCCTAAGAACACAGCCATGAATAAAGAATGGTACCAACACATCCTCCGAGAGCAACTTCTCCCAACCATCCAAGAACAGTTTGGCGACTAACAATGCCTTTTCCAGCATGATGGAGCACCTTGCCATAAGACAAAATTGATAACTAAGTGGCTCGGGGAACAAAACATTGAAATGTTGGGTCCATGGCCAGGAAACTCCCCAGACCTTAATCCCATTGAGAACTTGTGGTCGATCCTCAAGAGGCGGGTAGACAAACAAAAACCCACAAATTCTGACACACTCCAAGCATTGATTATGCAAGAATGGGCTGCCATCAGTCAGGATGTGGCCCAGAAGTTAATTGACAGCATACCAGGGCAGATTGCCGAGGTCTTGAAAAAGAAGGGTCAACGCTGCAAATATTGACTCTTTGCATAAACTTAATGTAATTGTCAATTAAAGCCTTTGACACTCATGGAATGCTTGTAATTATACTTCAGTATACCATAGTAACATTTGACAAAAATATCTCATAACACTGAAGCAGCGAACTTTGTGAAACCAATACTTATCCTTTCAGATAAATGCAAAAGCATTCTTATTCTGGGCGAAGAGTTGAGGGAAATTATGTCTGACATACTCACCAGTTTTTTAGGTACACCACCCCGTTCACGAAAATGGATCGCTCCTACAGACAGTGAGTCTCGTGGCCGTGGATTTCTATATAAAGTAGGCAGACAGGCATCGAGGCATTCAGTTACTGTTAGATTGAACGTTAGAATGGGCAAAACTAGTGACCTTTGTGACTTTGAGCGTGGTATGTTTGTCAGTGCCAGGCGCGCCAGATCCACTGTCTCAGAAACGGTCGCCCTCCTCGGCTTTTCACACACGATAGTGTCTAGGGTTTACAGAGAATGATGCGACAAACTAAAAACATCCGGTCAGTGGCAGTCCTGTGGGCAGAACAGCTCTTTGATGAGAGGTCGAAGGAAAATGGCAAGAATTGTGCAAGCTAACAGGTGGGCCACAAACAGACAAATAACGGCACAGAACGGCATCTCGGAACGCACATCTCGTCGATCCTTGTCATGGATGGGCTATTGAACACACCAGGTTCCATTCTCATCAGCTAAAAACAAGAAGAATCAGCTCCAGTGGGCACACAATCATCAACACTGGACAACTGAGGAGTGGAAAACATCGCCTGGTCTGACGAATCCCGGTTCCTGTTGCATCATGCTGATGGCATTCGGGATTTGGCGTAAGCAGCATGAGTCCATGGACGCAACCTGCCTGGTGTATTTGTATTTATCATGGATCCCCAGTAGCCAAGGCAGCAGCTACTCTTCCTGGGGTCCAGCAGAATTAAGGCAGTTATACATTTTCAAAACATATACATTCATAACAGATTTCACAACATATTCAGTGTGTGCCCTCAGGCCTCTACTACCACATATCTATAACACAAAATCCATGTGTACATGTGTGTATAGTGCGTATGTTATCGTGTGTTTGTATTCATGTGTCTATGTTTGTTGCTTCACAATCCCCGCTGTTCCATAAGGTGTATTCTTATTTGTTTTTTAAATCAAATTTTACTGCTGGCATGAGTTACTTGATGTGGAATAGAGTTCCATGTAGTCATGGCTCTATGTAGTACTGTGCACCTCCCATAGTCTGTTCAGGACTTGGGGACTGTGAAGAGACCTCTGGTGGCATGTCTAGTGGGATAATCATGGGTGTCCGAGCTGTGTGCCAGTAGTTCAAACAGACAGCTGGTGTCAACGGTACAGGTTGGTGGCGGTGGTGTACAGCCGTCCAATCTGCAGCAACTGCGTGATGCCATCGCATCAGCATGGACCAACATCCCTGTGGAACATTTCCAACTTGTAGAATCCATGCCCTGAAGAATTCAGGCTGTTCTAGAGACAAAGTGGGTTCCGACGCGGTGCTAGATGGGTGTACCTAATAAACTGTATATGACAAATCATAAACCCCTCATTTAGTTACCTCCTTGCAATTTTAGGCATAATAAAAACACAATTTGAGCCGGAGTTGAGTGGTGTTTGTTTGTCCAAAGCAGGTAATTTCCATATTCATTAAATGATGAGCTGCCACCTGAACAGTATCACCCTGTGTGTTTACTTGGCTCCTGTCATGCTGAGCGTCTCACATTAACATAATGCCATTTCCTTTCCTGTTGTCCATCCACTGTTCAGAATGAATTAATCTGTATTCTAATGCTCGTTTTGTTCTTTTGCAGATGACTGAAGCCCTTGGGTGGAGGGGATGGAGGGGTGTGTGCATGGGGGATCTAACTAGTCTTGCATTCATTTATCTTAGTTTGACAGCCAGTGAAAGAGGTTATCTATGCAGTTTTCCTTCACACTCAAATTGAGTTTCCCACCAAAAATAAGCTGTAGGAGACCAGACTTAATTCCTGTTAACTGGGGGGAAATGATTTTCTCTTGTTTCTCCTTTTATCTTCTTTCTCTCCCTCTCTCAATATTTATGCTCCCAGAACACTCCTCCCAGAATGCAAAATGAGCTCAAACCCCAGCGCAGGAAAGATGTGGCTAGAATAACCTTTGACCTGTACAAGAACAACCCTCAGGATTTCATTGGCTGTCTGAACGTGAAGGCCACCCTTTATGGCATCTATTCTGTCTCCTATGATGTGCGCTGCTACGCTGCCAAGAAGATGCTGAAGTGAGTGACCTGCGAGTGTGTGTCACTGTCAAAGGTGTGGCGGTGAGACCTAGGAGGAGGTTGTTGATATGTTCAGTTGAATTTTGGAAGGTTATGTCATCCGTGCTGAGCGCTGCCGATTTTCAGCTTTAGCTGAGCGGTTATGACAGCGAGGATTAAATTGTGCAGGGGCGACAAATAATGTTTTCTAGGCTCCTTTATTTTCTGCTTGTATTGTGCTCTATGAAAAGTCAGTGGAAAGAGAATGGAAGTTGTATCTAAACTAGGAGAGATCAGGGAGATGCAGGTTCCATCCCTGCACTGTGATTCCCATCTGTCTGACTCGGGAGTTCACTAATTTGTTTGTGTTTCTCCATTTGCCTTACTATATGCTTATCTGTCTATCGGTTTGCACCTCACCTGTCTGATCACTGATCTAGAGTCCAGGTATTAGTCTATCTGTCTGACATCTGTTCCTGTAGGGAGGCTCTGAGATGGACCCTGTTCTCTATGCAGGCCACAGGCCACGTCCTCCTGGGCTGCTCCTGCTACATCGAGCAGCTCCTGGACGAGGATGACCGGGCAGACAGGGGCCTGCCACCACTGCCACAGGAAGGCAAGATCAAACAACTACAGAGCATCCTGAAGGGCAGGACTTCTGTGATGGGCAAGACTGTTGTTTGACCTATTCCAATACTAGTAACATGCATCCTTCCCTTCTCCCTAATAATCACCCAACTAACTTGATTGTGCAGGTGAAAGGGAAAGTTCCACCACATAGCTTGCACCTGTCCAGTCATGGCAGATTAGTGATCACTTCATGGAAGGGAGAAAGGAAGGAAGGATGGATTTTCAGGATATTCAAAAAGGGATTTGACTGTGCTAAAAAACAAAATGGGTACAGTCAAACTGCAGGACCAATACCATGGCACGTCATAGTGTTGCATCACTCTGATGTCATGGTTACTGCGACAGGTACACACCTTTTGGTTAGGTCACTCCTCTAGATTTACTTTTGAGACAGGAAATGTTGTGTTGTCCCACACTATGTAAATACCTGGCTGCAGTCACTTGTGCTTTGTTACATATCTGTCTGTGTATATGGCTTGCAACACCCCACAAGCAAATGCCCACTTTTCTTTTGCAGTGACTGCTTCTGGTCTGTACTTTCAACTGATACACTACTTTTTTCATATGAATAAGCAAAAATAAATCATATGATTTATTAACCTTTTGAGCGGCTTTATTCCCCTCCAACATAGACATGCGTGCATGCACACACATGCATCCATGCAAGCACACTCTCACACCTGGCTGCACTCACACCTGGCTCCACAGTGTTGGAGGTCATTATGGGTGACATGTCTGACTGGCTCATGGCACAGTAATTGGCATAAGGTCTGGTTGTCTCACCTACACTCCTCTAATTGTCCCCCAGCCTGTCCTGTCCTGTCCTGTCCTGCCAACTGGAGCCCATCTTTCCTTAGCCTGCCAGGGGGTGGGAGAGGGCCAGGGAATGTTACCCAGCTGTAGGGGGCTGAAGTGCAGGGCCAAGGAAATGAGCCATTACATAGACAGACAGGAGAGAGGATGATGCTTTTGGCAGCAGCAGCAACAATAGACCCACTCTCCCTCTACCATCTCAAGGAAAATTGTGTAATTTACTTAAAACTAATTTTGGAACATTTTAGCCAAACTGCCCGACTTCATGCGTCTCATTATTTCTCTCCATTGACTTCAGACACTCCAATGTAAAACTGGTGGCTACTGCTCCGATCATCGTAGCAATTGATGTTACGTTACAGCCTTATTCTAAAATGGTTTAAATAGATTTTTTTCCTCATCAATCTACACACAATACCCCATAATGACCAAGCAAAAACAGGTTTTTAGAAATGTTTGCAAATGTTTAAAAAACATTTACATAAGTATTCAGACCCTTTACTCAGTACTTTGTTGAAGCACCTTTGGCAGTGATTACAGCCTCGAGTCTTCTTGGGTATGACACTACAATCTTGGCACACCTGTATTTGGAGAGTTTCTCCCGTTCTTCTCTGCAGATCCTCTCAAGCTCTGTCAGGTTGGATGGGGAGCGTCGCTGCACAGCTATTTTCAGGTCTCTCCAGAGATGTTCGATCGGGTTCAAGTCCAGGCTCTGGCTGGGCCTCTCAAGGACATTGAGACTTGTCCCGAAGCCACTCCTGCGTTGTCTTGGCTGTGAATCTTGTTTCTCATGGTCTGAGAGTCCTTTAGGTGCCTTTTGGCAAACTCCAAGCGGACTGTCGTGCCTTTTACTGAGGAGTGGCTTCCGTCTGGCCACTCTACCATAAAGGCCTGATTGGTGGAGCGCTGCAGAGATGGTTGTCCTTCTGGAAGGTTCTCCCATCTCCACAGAGGAACTCTGGAGCTCTGCCAGAGTGACCATAGGGTTGTTGGTCACCTCCCTGACCAAGGCCCTTCTCCCCCGATTGCTCAGTTTGGCGGCCAGCTCTAGGAAGTCTTGTTGGTTGGTGGTTCCAAACTTCTTCCATTTAAGAATGATGGAGACCACTGTGTTCTTGGACCTTCAATGCTGCAGAAATGTGTTGGAACCCTTCCCCAGATCTGTGCCTCGACACAATCCTGTCTCGGAGCTCTACGGACAATTCCTTCGACCTCATGGCTTGGTATTTGCTCTGACATGCACTGTCAACTGTGGGACCTTATATAGTCAGGTGTGTGCCTTTCCAAATCATGTCCAATCAATTGAATTTACCGCAGGTAGACTCCAATCAAGTTGCAGAAACATACAGTGCCTTGCAAAAGTATTCATCCCCCTTGGCGTTTTTCCTATTTTGTTGCATTACAACCTGTAATTTAAATTGATTTTTATTTGGATTTCATGTAATGGACATACACAAAATAGTCCAAATTGGTGAAGTGAAATGGAAAAAATGACGTGTAAAAAAAAAAAAAAAACATCTAAACAAAAAAGAACGGAAAAGTGGTGCGTGCATATGTATTCACCCCCTTTGCTATGAAGCCCCTAAATAAGATATGGTGCAACCAATTACCTTCAGAAGTCACATAATTAGTTAGATTGCACACAGGTGGACTTTATTTAAGTGTCACATGATCTCAGTGTGTGTGTATATATACACCTGTTCTGAAAGGCCCCAGAGTTTGCAACACCACTAAGCAAGGGGCACCACCAAGAAAGCGGCACCATGAAGACCAAGGAGCTCTCCAAACAGGTCAGGGACAAAGTTGTGGAGAAGTACAGATCAGGGTTGGGTTATAAAAAAATATCAGAAACTTTGAACATCCCACGGAGCACCATTTTAAATCCATTATTAAAAAATTGAAAGAATATGGCACCACAACAAACCTGCCAAGAGAGGGCCGCCCACCAAAACTCACGGACCAGGCAAGGAGGGCATTAATCAGATAAGCAAAAATAAATAATAAATAAGCAAACACGTTTTGGTGTTCGCCAAAAGGCATGTGGGAGACTCCCCAAACATGTGGAAGAAGATACTCTGGTCAGATGAGACTAAAATTGAGCTTTTGGGCCATCAACGAAAACGCTATGTCTGGCACAAACCCAACACCTCTCATCACCCCGAGAACACCACTGGGAAACTGGTCAGAATTGAAGGAATGATGGATGGCGCTAAATACAGGGGAATTCTTGAGGGAAACCTGTGTCTTCCAGAGATTTGAGACTGGGACGGAGGTTAACCTTCCAGCAGGGCAATGAACCTAAGCATACTGCTAAAGCAACACTTGAGTGGTTTAAGGGGAAACATTTGAAATGTCTTGGAATGGCCTAGTCAAAGCCCAGACCTCAATCCAATTGAGAATCTGTGGTATGACTTAAAGATTGCTGAACACCAGCGGAACCCATCCAACTTGAAGGAGCTGGAGCAGTTTTGCCTTGAAGAATGGGCAAACATCCCAGGGGCTAGATGTGCCAAGCTTATAGAGACATACCCCAAGAGCCTTGCAGCTGTAATTGCTGCAAAAGGTGGCTCTACAAAGTATTGACTTTGGGGGGGTGAATAGTTATGCACGCTCAAGTTTTCTGTTTTTTTTGTCTTATTTCTTGTTTCACAACAACAAATATTTTGCATCTTCAAAGTGGTAGGCATGTTGTGTAAATCAAATGATACAAACCCCCCAAAAATCCATTTTAATTCCAGGTTGTAAGGCAACAAAATAGGAAAAATGCCAAGGGGGGTGAATACTTTCGCAAGCCACTGTATCAAGGATAATCAATGGCACCAGGATGCACCTAAGCTCAATTTCGAGTCTCAAAGCAAAGGGTCTGAATACTTACATAAATAAGGTATTTCTGTTTTTTATTTTTAATACATTTGCAAACATTTCTAAAAAACGGTTGTCACGTTGTCATTATGGGGTATTGTGTGTAGATTGATGATGAAAATATTTTATTTAATCAATTTTAGAATAATGCTGTAACGTAACAATGTGGAAGAAATCAAGGTCTGAATACTTTCCGAATGCACTGTATACAGTAAGTGGCCACTTCACAAGCATTTACCTAATGCTCCATGAGGCTGGTTTGTTTGCATTGTTCTGTGGAGCGAGAGAGATGGCCACAGTAAATAACATGTAGAGTGCCTCTCTCCCCCCATTCCATCCAGGTGACATATCTTAATGTGATTTTGGTTAATGGAAACAAGTGTTTTGAATATAAACCATACAATAATGTGTTCACATGGATGGTTTCTGTTTACAATTGCGGCCAAATGTATAGGTACCCTTGCACTTAAATAATTCTCTATTTCTTCTAAAATAAGTTGAAATTGAAGAAAATGTTTGGTCTCCTCCACACCTTGTTATTGGATTTCAAACATTGCAGACCCAATTTTATTTCTGTAAACTTAAGTTTACAATTTTAATTTAGGAAAAAAAATGACATGGCATGTACAACATTATTGGCACCCTGGAGCTAGTAGTTGGTTGCACAGCCTTTGGCCAAGAACTGCAGACAAACGGTAGCCATCAATGAGCTTGCTGCACCTTTCTATTGGCAATTTGGCCCACTCTTTAGCAGCCAACTGCTCGAATTTGTCAGTGTTTGAGGGGTGCCCTCCACCAACTGCTGTTTTCAGCTCTCGTCATAGGTTTTGGCTGTGATTCAGATCTGGGCTCTCCATCGGCTGCTCCAAAACAGTCCAGTGTTCTTCTTGAACCATTCGTGGGTGCTTTTTGATGTGTGTTTGGGGTTGTTGTCCTGCTGGAAGACCCACAACATTCAAAGGAGACCCAATTTTTGGACACTGGGTTGAACATTGGACTCCAAAACACCTGATAATCTGCTGATTTCATGATGCCTTGCAGTTCAAGGCCCCCAGTACTACACATTTGAGATCAGAACTTTAACACAGAAATTGTGACCCACCGAAATAGTGTTAAACTAACACTTTTCAAAGTGTTGATAAACTAACACCCTCAAAGTGTTGGGTCCCTAACACTGTGGGTGTTGCAAATTCCAACTTAACACTTTATTAGAGCTGATGCTGTTACACTTTCTCAGTGTTGGGGAATAATACATGTAGTGTTACAGTATTTTTGGGGGGTGTTGTTTTAACACTGTAGACTAGAGTGTAAAGCCTTATTTGCATATTTCCCAGGGTGCTTTTGAGTGAATGTTAGTTACCCACCCACCCATGACTGTGTTTGTTAGTGACATAGACATGGTTGCTGCACTCAGGGCTCCCAAGTGGTGCAGTGGTCTAGGGCACTGCATCTCAGTGCTTGAGGCATCACTACAGACCTCCTGGTTCGATTCCAGCCTGTATCACAACAGGCCTTGATTGGGAGTCCCATAGGGCGACGCACAATTGGCCCAGCGTCGTCCGGGTTTGGCCGGT